ATATTGCAGCTCTATGTCTTAAGAATACATAGCCTGTTTGAGATTTAGCTATTGCAATATCAAATTTATATATTGTATCAAAATATCCCACCAATTTTGGATCTACAAATCGTATGTAGTATAATTCCAAATCTTTAGTGCCTTTTAAATAACATAATAAATATTTGATGCCATTCTAATATCATAGTGTTGGACATGCACTGTATCTTACAAGAACACTAATTGCAAATGTAATATTTGGTTTGGTAGATGTGGCTAAATATTAAAGTGCTCCAATTGCTGTGAGGTATAGATATTGCTTTCCTAATATTTCTTCCTCCTCCTTGCATGAACAATATGGATCATGACGATCACGACCACGTCCAACCATTAGTGTAGACAACAGAAAAGCATCAATTCTATTGAATCTCCATAAGATTTGTCTAATATATGCTAGTTGATAGAAAAAAAATGCTACCATCTATGAGATAAATAATTTGAAGACGAATGCAAAAAGTTATTTTTCTTAGAATTTTCATCTCAAATTCACATATAAGTAGGTTAGTAGCTGTAACGCATGCAGATCTAGTACCCACTAGGTTAAGATCATTCATCTATTATTATAGATGGTCTATCCCAAAGGTCATTTGTAGCACAATATAGAACAGATAATTCTATATTCAACTTGGTTTTATTCTTCATAATTTCAAAATTTTCTATAGCATGAGATGAAGATATAATATACATGGACATATTGTCATTAATTGATGGCCCCATAGGTTTAGTAGGAACTTCCACAAAAGAAATATCGGAATTACATCATGTTATAGCTTTCTTCTTTTATGGTTGCTTATTTGATCCACGAGTCCTTTTAATTGCTCATGTTTTAACTTGAGGTATATTTACTAGTGGTATTACAATCTAAGTAGGTTCATTTTGAGTCTCATTAATTTGGAACTCTTATAATCCAAGGTGCATCATTCAAGCCATCAAGTATTTTATTTATAATCCGTTTTAGATACAAAATCTTGGCAACTTTACTTTCAACCAAAGATGTTATAGGATCAAGATTCATTGTAAATATTTTTGGTGTTCCAAATGCAAGTACTATATTTTCTTGTTGATTAAATATTCATCCTAGAAGAAATGAAAATACATTCTCTTCAAAATGTACATGTAATAATGTTTTAGCTAATAGATCAACTATACGAATAATACTTTGTGAATCAAAATCAACATATATGCCTTCTTGTCAATGAACTCCAATGATATGCCATTGAGGTTTTGGTATTGAAAGCCAAGTATGGCAACCAAATATCCGTAGGTGAGATACATTTAGAACACAACTTGAAATGAGTTCTTATGGTATAATAATTTTAAGAGAAGAATGATAGAGACATATTAATGGTGAAATATGCAAAACTACATGATCCCACATAGATGCAAGTAAATTTGCATGAAGAAGGAGTGGCCAGATAATGAGTTGTATATGCTTTATAAATGACTCTACAAGTCTATTTTGAGTATGTTTATATGGAATACAATATGTTAATTCAATCCCTGTTATAGTACAATAATCTTGAAAGGACTTAAATGTAAATTCTTTTGCATTATTTATACATAATATTTTGATAGGATAATCATGAAAATGTGCTTAAAAATAAATAAGCATAGATATAACATTAGCAAATACCATGTTTTGTGATGATAAAAAGAAAACATGTAATTGTTTGCTTGATGCATCAATAAGGACTAAAAAATAATGAAATGGTCCAGATATTGAATTAATAGGACCACAAATATCACCATGCAATCTTTCAAGCATTAGTGGTAATTCTTGTAGGAGTTTTCAAATTGAAGACTGAACAATCATCTTATGTTGTACACATGTACAATATAATTCCATAGAATTTGTATATGCACGTCTTAAATTATGCCTAATTATACATGGAATTATCTTCCAAAATAATATAGATCTTGGATGTCCCAATCGTCCATGCCAAAGAAAAATACAATTCTCTATTATAGATGATGCAAAATTAAATATAATAAGAGGCTGGATTGCAATTTGGTATAAACCATTTGTCATAGCAAAGGCTTTTTTTTACAACTTTATGATTCTGTTCAAGAACCAAAACCTCTTGCCTATCCAAAATTACAATTGAGAGGTGATAAGCATTGGCAAGCACATCTTGGTAGTTGATCAGAGTCTAAGGTGCTGAGGGTGCAAACATGGCATGTTTATATTTTATGATAGACCTTGCAAGCAATTTTACCATTGCTATTCTCTCTTAGAAACAAAATATATTTGTTCTAGCAATAATCATCAAATTTTTAGTTTGCCAAGTTGAAGATTTTTCAATAAAAAATGGTCTATTTCATAAGATAATATGTGTTGTTGCAAAATCAATGAGTACATCATTTGATTCATTATTAGAGGTTTTTTCATTCATATAAGCCTCTAAATCATCAACACCAATTAAATCCATGGACACATCCATACTATAAACTTCACAAGACTCAGCTCAAAGTTTCTTATTTTCTTAGAATATTTTAATAAAGTATTCTGAAGTATGACACCCATGTGCCAAATGTCCAATCATTCCACATTTATGGTAAGAATGTATCTTTGATTTTTTTTTCTACTATAATTAATTATAGAATATTTATTCTCTCTATATGGGTGGAAATGGTCACGACCATCATTGACTTGGTGCTTATGAGTATTTTTTCCATGTTTGTATAAATATTTCTTAGATTTTGGAATATTAAGTGCATGAAATTATGAAACTATTGTTTCAATAAGATGAGCTTTTGTATTACGTAAGAGTAGCTCATTTAGTTTTTTCATAAGAAGTAGATAGGACATGAGATTAGGATGACTAAAAAAAATTTCATATTCCTATATTGTTGTGTAAGCACAACAGATGCGAGAGGAAATGTAGAGAGAGTTTTTTCAATCATTTCTTCTTCAGAGATGCTTTGTCCAGATAATCATAGTTGTGAGACAATACGATACATTTTATTGTTGAAAGCATTTAAATTTGGAAAATCCAAGACATGTAAATGTATCCAATTATGATGTGCACATAGAAGAAAAATGATCTTTTGATGATCAAATCTTGATTTAAGATTCTCACAGAGCTTGGCTAGATCTTTCATTTCTAAATATTGATGTTGTAATGGAGATATAAGATGTCAAAAAAAGAGAAGAAGTGCTTTCCAACAAATAGCAATATGAATTGAAATACTTATAGTAAGAGATTCTTCAAATAGAATTATATCAAATAGTTGTTCTGAAAATAAATTTGATTTTGCCATTTTTGTCCATAATAGATAATTGTTTCTATTAGCAACCAATGGTGGAAATAGAAGAACTTGAAAATGTTGGGATGTAGTGATGATAGTTGGAAACATAGTAGAGGCAATTGAGGATGTTAAAGCACTCATCATAAATTAATATATGAATAAAAAAATACCAATTCAAGTAGAAAAGGTTGAATAAAATGTACTTGAGAATATAAAGCCAAATAGAACAATAAAGTTGAAACTTGAAATCAAAAATGTTAAAAAAAAATTATGATTTTTTTTTTTTTTTTTTTTTTTTTTTTTAAAATAAAAATAAGGGTCTACAGTGGACTGCAGTAGGGTGCATTAAGATAAGGCAGTTCAGCGATAGGATGCGTCAATCAATGGCAATTAGTGGTAGGATGTGGTAGTTAAGGCAGTCCACAGCAATTAGCAATAGTTGGTGGTAGCATCAACAACATAGGACAACAACAACAGCAACAAAGGATAGCAATAAGAGCAGCAATAACAACTGTAGCAAAAACAACATAGGACAACAACATCAGCAACAAAGGATAACAATAAGAGCAGCAACAACAATAGCAGTACGAGAAGGAAAAAAAAATTTAAGAAAAAAATTAAAAGAAAAATGTACGTAAGTTTTTCAAGAACTAAGAACTAAAAACTAAGACTAGAATATAAAAAGCAATCGTGCTGATTACATGTTGAGAATGCTTTTAAGAAAGAAAGATAATAGTAGCTAGAAGTAATATGCACACATATGTAAACACACACACAAGAAGTAAGTTTATTGATAGGGTTATATCCTTTATACAAAGAGAGGAGAGAAGATAAACAATGTCTCCCCACTACATTCCAAACATTATAGCTATAATAAATAGTATGGAGAGCGCCGACTACATTTAATGCTCTGAATAGTCCATATTATTATTTGACATTATCTCAAAAGATAAGATATATTTTATATATATATATATATATATATATATAAGAAAATTCAAGAAAGATTGCTAAAGAAAAAAAAAAGGTACAAACTAAATTATTTTTTATTGATAATTTTCTATTACTCACTATTTATAAAATTTTCCAACCTCATCGTTCTAAACTTAAGCCAAACATGTTGAAACTTCTTTCACAAAATATCATGGGACACCAATTACTGTTTAATTTGTTTTCATCCATGTAGAACATGTGAATTTTAATATTTATTTATTCTTAAACATTTTGCATGAGATTTGACTTTCATCCCTAAAATAAAATATGATCACTACTACTTTTAATTTTTGCTACTACACTTTTAAAAGCACTTGTTTATAGGAAAGTTATTTGGAAGTAGAATTGAAACTAGTTATGTTCTTGGGTTTATTGTATTTTTCATTTCTCTTGTTCATACATGAAAATACAACTATTTGACCTTTAAGTGTTATATATATATATATATATATATATCAAAAAAATCTTCAATTGGCACTAAAACGAACTTATAATTTTAAAAACATACATGTATTTGGTTGCGTAATACTAAGCACATACGAAATTAGTTATTTAATACACAGTTTACAACTTTTGCCCATTAATTTATCCTTTTTTTACTCACTTTTAACCTCCATTCGAGGTAACTTTCAACGGGACTACTTTTATCGGGGGAGCCCTTTTACGTTACCGGGTCGGGGAGTCCGCCCGTTTTCTTCCCCTTTCCCTCGCTTTCTGGCGTTTCGAGCTTCCGGTTGAGCATTTGCTACGCTTCTCGCATCCACTACTGCATTTGAATGTCCGCGCGAAGCTACGTCCCACCACCGCCATCGCCTCGTTCAAGTTTCAAGTTAGTTTCACACCCCTCCCGCCTACTCGATCAAATCCTGCAGGTGAATTTAGTTGGCGATCTCGTTATTCCCTTTTCGGTGTGTGGAATTGGATTCTACGAAAGTAGTGCGGTGGTCATTGTGTTAGGGTTGGAACGAGATCTAACAAGCGTATAGTTGTTAGAAATATGCGGTTGGTGTTTTAGGCGCCTCACTTGGTTTAGTGGGACAGAGTGTGGTGGGGGGGGGAAGGGGGGGGGGGGGCATCGTGAGGCGAGGTTTAGTCTTGTGGTGGAGCTGTTGTGTGCATTCGGGCATACGGGTCTACGTGTAGTTGGCAGTGCGTCTGTTTATTTTCGGGAGAACGGGATGGCTCTTTATCTCTTGTTGACGGGTCGCTGAATATGAGTAATGTCCAGTGAAGATTATCGTCGCAATTGTACATTTTAAGATCTTGAGGATTGTAGTTTCAATTACGCTAGTGATTGTGCAGTATTTGTAAAATTTTCTAGAATTTGATGATCTGTTTGTCTGACCGCAATTACTTCAGTGGATGAGGTTTAAGAGATTTGGAATCTTAATGACACGCATGTGTAATTCTTGACTTACTAGGATGAAGAGAAAGGACCATAATTTTTAGTAGAGAGGCATGGACGAAAGTGGTAGAGAACAAGTCCCCTGAACTAAGAAATGGAGAAGTCACAAGCGGACACCGCCGTAGCTGATCTTGCGAAGGGAGGGATACAGCAGAAGATATACAGGTTGCACTCGTTCCTTTTTGGCATAGATGCAGCTTGTAGTAGAGGAGACTCGGAGACAGCCCTGGGTCTTGGTCTTCGATTGCTCGGATTCTTGGAGAGCGAATGCAAGTCAATTGAGGACGTTACATACATTGAGCCAATCAAGAGGCAGGTGCTGAAGAAGATCGCAACAGCCTCCCAGGAAACGCAAGTTGACAGGTATACTCTTGCCGATAATGTCAGTGTGCGGCATTGCCTAATCCAATTGCATTCTCATTAGGCACCAAAACTTAGAGCCTCGGTTTTTAGTTCATCGAAGACGGGAACACTTGATGAAGGGGCCTTCGTTAACAAAATTCACAACAATAGTATTCTTGTTTCTGACCTAAGTTATATTTCTTTGTTGCTGGTTTACTTCAATCGTATTGGCCATCAGAAGACCTTGAAATCTCAATATGATCTTCTCGGTAGCGACAATTGGCAGTGTTGCAGGTTATTTTCGGCGGCTTTTACTACGAGCTTCATCTTCCTGCTTTTAGTTGTCTGTAGGTGAAGGTTCTGTAGTATGTGAGTGATAATGTTTTCTCCCGGCCTACACTTAAGCTCCGGGTTTCTGGAAAACAATCATCTCCTCCTAGTGGTCGTTTTTCATTTGCAGTTTGTTCTATTTCTTCTAGGGATAGCCACTTCGGATTTTAAAACCTTCAGAATTGTCACACTAATGCGACTTCGAATGAAATCTGGCTTTTTTGTGGTTACTACTACAGGCTGGCACTGGAAGAAGCCCGTGCTGCTTCTGACTTCAAATTTCGGCAGGGAAAGACTATTGATGTTGAGAGGATAGAAAATGAAGCTTTTTACCGTGCTTTTGTGCAGAGATCAAAGCCCGAGGACAATGCTGTGAGTTATCATCATCATTATCATTATTATTATTATTATCATTCTCATTTTTATACTATTCTGCATGCTTTCCCTCCCTCCCTCCCTCTCTCTCTCGCTCTCTCGCTCTCTCTCTCCCCCTCTCTCTCCCTCTCTTAAGCTTTCTCTTTATTTTCTTTTTCAGCTGTCTGCGGTTTAATTCAGAATCTATTTTTTTGTTTCTGCGTTCCATCACAATTGCATAATGTTCATCAAGCTTACATATCATGCGGTAGGTCTTGAATTCATTAGAATCTTTTTGATGGCGTTGGCAGGCCCACAGCACCACTAAAGACATATCTAATAACCTGGTTCCAGAGACGAAAAACTCAACGGCAGACGTTCCTCATCGGGACGGAGTTCTTGATTTGGGAGAAGAGGTTAACGGTTTTAGATCCAGTAAAGCACCGGCTCAGTCCAGGCTTACATCTCTATATACTCATGCACATCAAAAGGTTGCTGAAACTGTCTTGAAAGGTAGGATAATCTTATTATGATTCATTACATGGAACATTCCTTCTTGGGTTTCCAATCTGAACTTGAACACCTAATTATCCTTTCTAATGGGTATGAGGAATCAAGTCTTCATGCGTTTATAACTTTGGAGGTTTAAGCATCCTTTGCTTGATAAATGATGAGGTTTCGCAATATTGTTAGCCTTAACACATGCATTAAAGGGGCATCTTGAGAGAGAGCATTGCAATGTACTTCAGATGAGCCAAGAGTGGTCCATATAACAGTCCCTTGAAGCGTTATGATGAGCTTGCTCTGAGGCTCTGTATTATTTGTGTTGCAGATCCTGATTTTCTAGGAGTAGCTCCTAAAGCAAAATACTCTGCAGCTACTCTACCTTCAGCAGGATCATATCGCCGGCGGGCAACCGAAAACAGAGACAACGATCGTTTGCCCTCTCCTGAGTCTGAAGCAAAGATCAACCCTTACAGTCTTAACCGCAAAAGACCAAATAATCCCTATGGAGCCAAGAGAAAACCTGAGAAGTTCAAAAAAGCGTCCAGGGAGGTCCCCAAGGAGGTCGCCAGGGAGGAAATGAGTTCCGATGATGATTCTCCGAGTGAACCTCCATCAGTTAGTTTTGTAACAGCAAAACAAAAATTGGTACGCTTACTTGAAACTTGGAATGTCAAATGCAACTTGAATGTATACAACCATTTTCAATTTGCCTACGAATCTGCTCAGGATTATATATCGATCTAAAGTAATATCTTTTTCCGCAAGGATGCGCTCATGTAGGAATGGCGTAACAGTTTTGATAAGACCAGGATGACCAAGAAGCTGTCATACTCGACTGGCATGTCACCCGAATCTGTCGGAATGTGTGCATAAGTGACTCTTATCGATTTTTATTTTTGAATGAACAATGTCAGGTTAAGTAATTAAGCTAAGTTATTGTGTTATTTCTCGTTCTGATTTTGGCAGGCATTAGATTTAGCCAAAAAGAATGGAGCTACACCTGCTTCGAATTCATATCAAAGTGGACCGAGTACTTCTTTTGCCTCTAGGCCACCTGGGAAAACCTTAGGAATGTCAAGGCGTGGTGTTCGTGGCTCCTTCATACCTCCAATACGAGGCGCAAATGCACCCTCAGCTGGAGCTGCTGTAGGTGCCGTATCTATGCCACGTGGACCTTCTGCAGATAATACTGCCACTGAGGATTCAACCCGAAAATGGTGAGGCTGAGTACACCGTGTTCATTTCGTCTTTTGTTCACAAAACAATTGTGACGCACAGGCTTTATATTAGGTCCTTCGGGGTTTATATTTTGGACATTCGTAATGTTTGCTTTTCATACCTCAATCTGTATTTTGAAGACTTTTATGTGCTCACTTGTATGTGATTCATGGACTATTATGTTGAATGTGCATATGGACACAGCATGGAAATGTTGGCGGGACCTGATGGAGAATTGCCAGACAAATTGAAAAATTTAGAACCCCGTCTTCTTGAACATGTCAGTAATGAAATCATGGATCAAGATCCCAACGTTCGTTGGGACGACATCGGTAAGCTGCATGTGTACGTTATAATTAGTGTCTTTCATTGATATTGCAAAATGATGTTCATGTGAAACCTCTTCTTAATGCTGCCATTTCTGCTTCTATTCTGCTATTTTTTGAAGGATCTTCGGTTCTCTCTTCAGTTCGTTTTCAATCCTTTTTGTTTCTGAGTACTTCGAAATGACTTGTCTGGCAGCCGGACTAGAGCACGCCAAGAAATGTGTAACAGAGATGGTGATTTATCCTCTCTTACGCCCAGATATCTTTCAAGGTTGTCGTGCTCCTGGCAAAGGCCTCTTGCTTTTTGGTCCTCCTGTAAGTATCACGTTCATCTTTGAAGCCAATTACATCCTTATCATCAAACTTTGGATAATTTTTATGATAGATGACTGTTATCAGATGATATACACTCATTGAGATTCTATTATAGTCATATCCTCTTAGGCGTACAAATAGTCACGCTTAAGGTTGAATTGGTGTTTGTGAATTCTGATGTCTCTTGTATGCCATTATTATTCCATTCTTTATGACTGAGGACCATGAGCTCTGTATTCAACAGGGAACAGGCAAGACTATGATTGGAAAAGCTATAGCTGGGGAAGCGAAGGCGACATTTTTCTCGATATCTGCAAGCTCTTTGACAAGCAAATGGGTGATTTTATATGCAGTGACCAGTATTTTGTTAAATGGTGTCAACTGATTGTTCATGAATGGACTGTTAACAGATTGGTTACACGTTTTTTTGGGGTGGAGTTATGAAACATCTGAACTATAGTACTTTTCTTGAAAATATTGGCCTCAAATATGTACTCATCAGTGTACAATGTTGCTTATGGTTGGTAGATTGGTGAAGGAGAAAAGCTTGTTAGAGCCCTCTTCGGAGTTGCCAGCTGCCGTCAGCCAGCTGTCATATTCATCGATGAGATTGACTCTTTGCTGTCACAGGTGAGAAAACTTTTTTTCTAGAGCACATCCAACAAAGCTTCTGGTATTGACTGCTCATTGCCTAAGCTATTCCAGTGTGCATGTACGAAGACGTGCTTGTTGAGTCCTCATACTGCTTTTTCATGTCCATGCAGCGAAAATCAGAAGGTGAACACGAATCTAGTAGAAGATTGAAGACTCAGTTTTTAATTGAGATGGAAGGCTGTGGAAGTGGTAACGAACAAATCCTCCTAATTGGTAAGTCCAAATTTTCTTTTGGTATTTCAAGTTCCTTTGCATAGAATTAGATTAACATTTCACATGTGTAGCCTTAGGGAAGTTCTCACAGTTTCATCCCTACCAGAAATCGTAAGAAGTTTACCTTGTGGCATTGACGTGATTAATTGAGATTTTTTTTTTTTTTTTTTTTTTTTTTTTTTTTTGTCATCGTTCTTATTAACTTGGTCAAGGAGTAAATCTACTGAACGTGAAACACCAGGTTTGCACCTTAATATGCCGCGCTTAACTGCTAATGGTGTTTCTCTGCCCGGAATTATTCGATCTATTAATGCTTTGATTGTGTGCAGGAGCAACGAACAGGCCTCAAGAGCTTGATGAGGCTGCCCGGCGACGGCTATCTAAACGGCTCTATATTCCTTTACCTTCCCATGGTACTTTAAATCTTGGTATCTATTAGGCTCTGGCATTAGTTGGTATTTATTGAGCGACGCAGAAATACTGGATCTTAAATATTTAAAGGTGAAATATAATTCAGCTTTAGCATAAAGTGAAACTTCACGAAAAACATTTGGAGTGACCAAGTACCTTGTTTGGATACAGAGGCAAGAGCGTGGATTGTTCGCAGTCTTTTGCAGAGAGATGGGCTCCTCTCTTTGTCAGACGAGGATGTTGATTCTATCTGTACAGCTACGGATGGTAAGCTGTTTATGCCAGTTTTTATTACATCTATTCTTAAAATTTAGGTTAGCCTCCTTTTGTAGCATAATCAGTTACTTACCTGAGAAATGCATTTAAGGTATTGTTTTCGTCAATGACCTATCAAATTGATTGTGCGGAAGGTTGTGTTTCTTCTGCTGAGGTTGGTGTCTGCAGGTTATTCAGGTTCAGATATGAAAAACCTAGTTAAGGAGGCTTCAATGGGGCCTCTTCGAGAACTTTTAATGCAGGGCAAAGATATTAGCAGTATTAGTCCACATGATATGAGACCTATTTCTTTACAGGTCGGGCACATTTACTTGTCTGTTGTAGTGGTTTATATGTATCTGGTTGTGTTTGAAGATGTGATGATGATTCTCATTAATACGTTTCATAGTCCTTCTGTATATGTTTGTTTCATGGCAAAGTTCATGAGCGTTTCTGTTCCATTGCCCGACTGTTACTACTGCCCCTCGGACCTTGCAAATGCATTTTTGAAATAACCTCGAGTGCTGGTTGTCTTGCAGGACTTTGTTAATGCATTGCAACAAGTCAGACCGTCTGTTTCGCCTGACGAGCTTGGGATGTATGAGGACTGGAATCGGCAATTTGGTAGTCTAGCACTTTAGTCAGGGTATCTGTTGGTCAAGCCCTTGTAGCCTGCTGCAATGGATTTGTAAGAATGTTTCTTTGATCACGTGTAACAAAGTTGGATAAGCGGCAATTTTCGGCAAGTGTCGACATGCAAAGTAGCAATGTCGGCATGATTGAGTGAATGAGTGTGGAAATGATGAATTGAAGGATGGTGCTTGGGACTTGCACATGGAACGGTGATTTGTGTTGGAAAGCTTTGGACGCAATGCTGACTAGAAGTCAGGCAAGACAGAATTATCCATTTTCAACCGTTCGCATAGTTTGTCGTTCTTTCTGAGAGATTAAGAATGAGAGGATTTGGTTTTTGCCTTGGAGCATGCCTGTCGAAAGGATCTCTCTAACTATTAAATGAAGTGTTCACCATGTAATTAAATTCGAAGGTACACATCGAGCGTTGCTTATTCACGCTTTGTAGCAACGACGAGTGTTGGTACCTGCAATTGAGCAGGAACCTTCGTACCATTACTCATCTTCAACGGTTTCCATATTTACACTTCACTATTAAAAGAACCATACCTTTGGTAACGTGGAAGAACGATACCTTTCTATGCTGATTTATGGCCCTCCTCGGATCTGTTATGTTTAGATAGCACGGGTATTTTATTAATCACCAACTCTAAAACTTTGTTTTGTTTGCAGAATCACATAAATGGAATATGTCCACTACAACCTACGCTTTTAGATCCCGTAAGTTTCAAATCGTACTCTAGTACCCTAAGATTTCATGAACATTTGGTGTTTTATGACCATTTGGAATATTGTCTAGAACGAAGTATATCAGTGCTCAAACCAATTACTGAGCGAGCTTAACATCTTATTCCCTTCTAGAAAATCTCAAAAGGTAACAATGTGCATGTGGCTCCGACCGTCGCACCGGATGCATTTTTTTCAAGCAGCGGAATAATAGTGGCGAGTGTGCCAGTGGATCCAGCGTAGATTCATCGTTTGTGTGAAGGAATACGGTGGACCCTAGTGAATTCTGAGATCTCGACCTTTATATATCTGTTCAGGACTGGTGTTGGATATGGATATTCATATATTGCGGGTGGATTTCAAAGCGGTTTAGCAGGGTGAGCGAGAAGACCGGGCCAGCGGTGACGGCACCGCAGGAAAGGCCGCTCTTAACTGCAGTTCCACACACGTCCCACTTAATCTTTCCCTTTTCCGCCTCACCCGTCGCCGTTGTCTAGGTAGAGCGGCTGGGAGGAGGGAACATTTCCTTTGAACTTTCCTTTCTTAAGATCCTTTCCTGTTGCGGCTGCAACTTTAGCCAACAGTGGAGAAGCGAATGAGGAGATGCTAATTTGATCGACCTTGACGGATTAGTTAATTAATTTTGCTTCTGTTGCTGGCCGTCGGACACACATGCTGGTTCCGTGGAATTTTTCTAGCCGGGAGAGAAGGGTGGTGTTGTGATGTACGCCATGAGAGTTGGCGCGGGGTAGTGGCAGGACGGATTTATGTGCGTACTTTTGCGGAGTAGGGTGCGGGAGGTGTTTGGTTTTTTTCATGTTCGGAAGTCGAGATTCTCTCCCGCCCGCGGGTTTTTTTCTTCTACTTTCTCATGAAGTAAGAGCGAAGGGATGTGAGATACAATGGTGCCGTGAGACCGTTCTTGTTCGATCTGTCAAGACGAACATCGAACACTGAGCCTTAACAAGGGAGAGTGGGCAGGGGCTTGCTTGAAGCATGCTTTAGTGTATCATTAAGCTTGAACTTCCTCTCGTATTTTCTTTTGTATTTGTAGGATAAAATCTGCTAAGATATTCCACAATTTTCTTCGTTTTCATCTGCCTGTGCAGCGATTATTGGACTGTTGAAACTTGGAGATAATATTCTAGTTTAGATCTTGAAAACTGACTGGAGGTTTTTGCTGCTCGTTCTTTATGACTTTAGTTTTCTCTCGTGTGTTCCGACTCGGCTTCACTTTTCCTGTTCGAGTTCCAAGTCTTCGGACTTGACCAGGTTCACACCTGATGAGCCCAGAACAGGCATTTTGCATAACATTTTGATAATGCATATCAAATCCTTCAGTACAGACTCAGGCTTATATTAGGAATGCCATTATTCCTATGCAGCGATTAAAGTCGCTCGAAGACTCTTCTAAGATGACCGCACCTCCGAAGATTTCTACATCAGGTTTAGCGGACACCTAACTGAACATATCCTCAAGCTTGTACAGAAGCCTAATCTTGAGAGATTTTTACATCGCAATTCTGATGGAGCTTCTACCGTAAAACCGTTTTGTAACATTGTCCACATTAATTTATTTGCAGGGGAGAGATCAATTGTTACGGGAGGAGTTGGACCATCGTCATCTGAACCGTTACCTGGTACAAACACCGCCTGCGCTGCATGCAAGTACCAGCGTCGCAAGTGTGCCACGGATTGTCCCTTGGCTCCCTACTTTCCCCCAGATCAGCCGAAGAGATTTCTCAATGTGCACAGGCTGTTTGGTGTTAGCAGTATTTTGCGAATACTGCGTCAGGTAGATCCAGACAAGCGTGAAGATACCGTTAAATCAATTGTGTATGAGGCGGATACTCGAGAGAAAGATCCAGTACATGGATGTTTAGGAGTTATCCACTTGTTACAGAACCAGGTCAATAAGCTCAAGGATGAGCTCGTTGTGGCGAGGGAGCAGTTGTTTCTATTGGAACAGCAACACTCTACCTCCATTTTACAGCAGAACTACGGACACTCGCATGGGGGAGGCCAACAAAATTATCATTACCACCATACGCAACCGCAGTATCATGCGAGTACAACACACCAGAGTGGGAATTTCCACGATCCTGCTCCTGTACAGATAATGACTTACCAGGACAGTAGGGCATCACATGCAGCATATCACGATCATGCGAGGTAAGCCATTAACCAGGACCGATTCTTATTTAGGTTTTGTCTATTTTTGGTCGTTGCAATTAATTTCATTGAATGAAGCTTCAATGAATTCAGTCCCGTTCTGTCTGATTTGGAATCCTGTTGGCTTTGTAGATATCTGGCTGTTTCAGACTCAGCTCTGCATGACATGCTAGGCCAACAAATAACAAAGATGGAGTCAACTGATCCATACAGCAGTAGTTTGAGCAGTATGAGGTATGGTTCTGATTCAGGTCCGGGATCACTTCATGTTCATGAGCACCAACAAAATCAGCAAAATCTGGGAGAACAGCAGCATCAAGGAGGAGGATCTAGTTACACAGTTGCAGGTGATCTCGAAAGGCGTATATTTTACAATCCTCTTGTTGACACCCATGCAGGCCGTCATGTCGATCCTCTCAGGTCTGTGGCAGCCATGCAGGGCTTGGACACCTTGAACCCACATCAGGTGTCCGATCATGAACTTCGGAATGCTGGGGTGCATTTGTCCCTCACAAATCAGTACTCCATTTAGAGGATCCACTCATTCATTTTATTTAGCATTTAATTCAGTTGATGATAAGTTTGGTCTGTAGAAATAACTCAAACTGGTAGATGAAAATTAATGTTGAAACTCAGCGACGGTGTTATCAAAACTTTGGCATGAAGAAACTTTCTAAATTTGACACAAGTATTTTAATATTTGACCGGCATGAGATTCTTTCCAAGTTTGTGTACTTCTTGATTAACTAGGATTCACCGTTTCAATTCCCATTTTAGTTCGTGGTGCCGTATCAATACCACGTAGACCACATCGAGAAAACGGTGGCTCAGAGGATTCAACTTGTGAGTGGTGAGTTCGGGAGCACGCAAGTTCTCACGTGCATAAACATATGCTTTATTATTTCGTTATACAATACCTATGGATTACTTCTTGGGAAAGTTAACGAGTGCATTCTGGTCCATTTCTCGACTGTTACTACTGCCCCTCGGACCTTGCAAACGCAGTGTTGAAATAACCTCTAGTTCTGGTTGTCTTGCAGGACTTTATTAATGCATTACAACTAGTCAGACCATCTGTTTCGCCTGACGAGCTTGGGATGTATGAGGACTGGAATCGGCAATTTAGTAGTCTAGCACTTTAGTCAGGGTATCTGTTGGTCAAGCCCTTGTAGCCTGCTGCAATGGATTTGTAAGAATGTTTCTTTGATCACGTGTAACAAAGTTGGATAAGCGGCAATTTTCGGCAAGTGTCGACATGCAAAGTAGCAATGTCGGCATGATTGAGTGAATGAGAGTGGAAATGATGAATTGAAGGATGGTGCTTGGGACTTGCACATGGAACGGTGATTTGTGTTGGAAAGCTTTGGACGCAATGCTGACTAGAAGTCAGGCAAGACAGAATTATCCATTTTCAACCGTTCGCATAGTTTGTCGTTTTCTCGGAGAGAATAACCAGTGCTTTTTATTTGTCAAGGAATAGATTGGAATGTGCAATTGAATACCACGACAGCACCTTTTGTGTCTAATGGATTCTTCTTGGCTGGCTGGCTGGCTCACTCCGAAGCAGAATCCAATTTCGTTGCCCATTTCGTAGGGATTAACTGTTGTCCAAGCTCTAGCACCATGTGTTACCTTTTTTATTCGGCTGTCAGCCTTCATTGTAGCTCATCATCAGCTCTCTTCAATCTAAGCTAGATCTGTCTGATGACTTATTTATATGTGCATGTGCCTCGATATTGATGGAGTTTCTTTCTCCATCCACTGGAAGCCGCTAGGGTTGACTGGTCTCCGGAGGTAGCGCTTCATTTAAAACGAGCTGCCCCCGAAGATTTTTCCTTATTCGGTTCCTTGATACTGTCTATTGCTATCGACCAGACTACCTTGGGATAACTTGTGGATTTCATGTTTATCTGGTTCATTGTGTGAATCTGGTTGGCTTGTAATTATTGTTTTTCTGAATTGTTTGTGGTTTGCTGATAATGATTTGGAGAGAGCTACACACAGACGCTGATGTGATTTTCTGGATGGCATGTTTGCTTGTTCATTTCTGCAGGTATTCTGGTACAATGAAGTGTTAGCACAGTGTCGTATGTAGGCAATACGTGTCAATTGCGGTGCTTGAGCCTGACGATATTCATGTGGATCCAGCAATTATTAAAGAATCGTCATATGTACATGCTGACGCTGAAAGGTGTCCTAAGCCGAGATAAGTAGCACTCAGTGCAAGCCTTGTAGCTCCGTCGCAAATTGAAACACTTCGAACCAGTAGAGTGGACAATGATTCGCTTCATCGGGTTCTCTTTGTTCAGTGCACACAGAGGTGACAATAATCAGTAGTTCTTAAATAATTCTGTATTTGCAATTGGATATGAAAGTAATTTTGCGGCCGGAAGCCCAAGATCATAGATATGAAATTGGATATGAAAGTAATTGGATATTGAAATTACTGCCTTCTCATTGACAGAAGAGGATGGAGTTTTGAAAGGAGTGATCATCCAAAAAAAGTGGTTGGATAAATTTGAATATTTTTAATTTTCCCATTTCATTTCATACCTCAAGAGCAATAAGCACACCCAAGGGAAGGAGGACTATAGGTGGGTAATCTTCCCAAATTAAGTAATATGATTTAGATAAGAAGTATTGTCTTATACCTTGATGCTATCATCCAAATTTAAGCTAGTGACATCCAATGTGATGAGGTTCATACTAACTATCATATTGTACAACATTTTCACCCTTTTTAACTATCTAAACATACAACACTTTATAAGAGAAAGGATATTCCTTCTTGCTTAATACTTGATTATTAGAAAAGTAATATCTTTTTTTTTTTTTTTTTTTTTTTTTTTTTAATTCTAAACTTGTTAAGAATATGAATTAAGATAGAACTTTGAAAAAAATTATATTCTTTTTTTACTATAAGAAGAAGAATAGACAAATAAGAGATAGATAAAAGATTAAAAGTATCTAAAATGTCTATTTTCAAATTTAAAAAAATTAGAGAGTCTCAAATTAAAACTAGAATACAAGAAATGTATTGATATGATTAAAAATAACTTTATTCTTGCTTCCATATATATATTAGCTATCAAGAAAGACTTATAGAAGCTTAATAGGAATTGCAAGGCTTTTGGCTTAAGTATCAAGTTGTGGACTTGTAGAAGTGTTATTTTTTCACTTCCTTGAAGAATGATAACAACCACTTGTTTCTCAATCCTAAAATAATAAAATAAAGTACTATCTCTAGCAAAGTCTTTAGTCTTGATATTGTTTCTAGTTCTGAAGTGTTGAAATTCTAATCTATAACCAAATTTTTCATATTTACCTTGTTCCAATATAAATCCATATATACAACATCTGATCTATTATATCTACATATTGGATTGACTCTCTACTATTCACGTAATTTTAGATCTAATAAATAAGGTATTGGTTTGCTCCTTCAATATTAAGATTCTTATACATATTGTATTTTCTTGAATTAAAGTATAATAATATTAAACTAGTCTCTTTAGTCTTCCTTCTAATTCTCTCAAAAATCCTTCTCTACATTCTCTTAACTAATATGGTTTTATTATTTAATAAAACAATACAACTCACAATACATACACACCTTTGCTACTAAGAGAGGGCTAAAAATCCTCATTACATTCCAAATCCAAATGACCTCCTAATCTTAGTCTCTATTCTAATCATTTTTTCCATCCATCTTAATCTTCATCTATTTAATTCTTCATTCACCTTATTCTTCATCCATCTATTAAATATAGTTACTACCTTCAAGGCAATAATTGCCTAAGGTTTATTCAATAATAATGGAATGTATTGACCTACTTTCATAGCCTATTAAATATCCATTTAAGAAGATTGCTTATAATATAACTTCCTAAAAGTATAATAACTATAGAATAAGTTTTAATAGTTATATAATATATCTATAAAAGTCTAAATATCTAATTTGAATTTAAAAAACTTCTTTGAAGCTTCTTAGAGAAAATATTATTAATCTAATATATTTCTATCTATTTCTACTTACTTTTATTTGTTTAAGTAATATAAGCATTCACTACATTATCATCCTTCTAAAAAATGAGTTTCACATTAAATGATCAAGCTGTTTCATAAGTTGATAAAGTTTAAGATTTTTTGAATGGTGCCATTAACAAATTATGATTTATATTTTATACAAAGGTGGTTAATAAGTCTTTTTAGCTATTGATAATATCTCATATTAAGGCAAAAAGATAAACCAATAATTTAATCATTCTTTAAGTCTTCATAACTACCTTCAAATAATACATTTTGCATGCTATTGGATGTAGTATTCACCTCTAGTAGTATCATTAAACATCAATAGCTTCTTTCAAAATTGTGAGACCATACAAGCTAAATCTTGATATCTAATTAAGTAAAGACATGTCTTTATTGAAGATCTTTGTTTGATTTTTATATTTTTTAAGTTAATATAATTTAAATTTTTTATTTAAAATTTTTGCAAATGACAATTCTTCAAATGAAGTTATATATTGTTGATTTTTATGGTGTAAAGAAATTCTAAGAGGTAGTTTTGAACTTTTTTTTCTTGGATATATATTAGTGCATTGTTAATAATTGGTTTGTCATTTTGATCAATGTTGTTGATGAAAAATAATAAGTTTTGATGCATTTTCAACATTCTTAAATGACTTTTTGTGTATTTACCAATATCATGTTTGTACAAATGTATAAAATATTCTAACTTATTTTAGGACCATCATAATTTTTTTTTTTTTTTTTTTTTTTTTTTTTTTTATATTAAACTCTTAGGTATTATTTATATCAACAAGAAGGTGTAATAACTACTTTCTTACTAATATTTTAATCATAGCATAAGACTTAATAAAAGATACATATAATATTTAATGAATCTTTATATATTGTTGTAATTGAAATAAATTTACAATTAATTTTGATATTACAACAAAGTAATTATACCTTATCAATAACTTTGAATTTGTAATTTAAGTAATTTATTTTTAAATAATAAATATATCAGAGCTTTGATATTCCAACTTATTACAAGATCAATTAGTTTTGATATTACAACAAAGTAATTATACCTTATCACTAACTTTGAATATAGATAATTTTTTCTTACAAATACATATATTAATTTTGTTGTTCTTAAGCGTCATTTGATTACATCTTTATTATTATGTGAAGCTTTTTTTATCTTTTGTGCCAAAAACTTTATTATTAGATTATTAACTTTTAAAGTCAAAAGTAACAAATAATGGATGATAATAATAATTGAGAAAAAATAGAGCTTAATGAATAAAAGAATGTACCATATTATCAAATGATAATTTTTTTAATGACAAGAAAATCATTTAATTTTTTTTAAAAAATAATTAATAATATATTATAAAAATTATTCTAATATTTAATTCCAATGTTTTAATTGTTGATCAATATGAGAATAAAAAATTGAAAATAACTTCATATAAATATTTAATATATTAATATCACTTTGAAGTTTTAATATTTAAGGATATTATCAAAGAAAAGTTTTTTTGTTTCTTCATTTATAATAGATTTGTACAAGAAACAAAATAAATTAATTATGGTTGAATAATAAAAAATAATAATTATGTGAATTTGAGATTGAAAGATCTATAATGAAATCCATTTAAGTAGTGTTATGGAAATACGTAATTACCTAAATAAGAAGTGTCAGGTAGTAGATAAATATAAATAGATTCGATAGTATCTTGTAGAGTAGCTTCTTAAAAGCTTCATAGATGCTAAAAGTCATCAAATTAACTCACTAATAGTTTTGGGACAAAAATTGCACTTACAATGCCAAAAATCACAAGTATTAGGTGAAGTTAGTATAAGAAATTCTAGATAAAAAAAATTTAATTTTAGTGGAAAAAATGCAACTCCAAGTAGGAGTTTTTGTATACAATTTCAACTTCAAAGGGCAGCCTAATGGCAATATGTACACAATCCACACATTGGGGCATCTATGTAGAAAGGACATCTTCTTGGCATGTTCCAAGAGACAGCTTGGAATTTTGTAGAATTCCAAAATTATTTTACTCAAATTTTGGAGGACAATTTGAAGGCAATTATCAAGCGGCAACATGTCGACCACATCTGCAGAGGTTGAACTCTATGTTCAATTCATCGTCCTAATGATCAACATTATCAAATCGGAAGTACGACACACAAACAATTCTGAGCTAGTGGAGTTTGTGGCTCTCTGGTGGAAAGGGGAGAACCCTGACTTTGGTGGGCAGGCTTTGTGTTGACAGGGGTCCGAGCGTCGAAGGCCTCCTCCTCTCCTTTTCTTGTTCTCGCTTCGTTTCATGGGGCTCCGTTTTTTTTTTTTTTTTTTTTTTTTTTTAGGTGCTGTGGCTAGAGCCGCTGGGTGTTTTTTCCTCCGGCGTTCTGTTGCTGGTTTCTTGGCTCCTTCCTTCCCGCAGTGGCCCTCTTGTCTCTTGCTTTTTGTGTTCGCTCTTGCATCGGGAGAGCTCCTGGTTTTTTCTTTGTTGTGCTGGTGGTGTTGTTGATTGTTGCGGCGGGGTTGACTTCTTCTGCTGTCTCCCGTGTGGCGGATCTAAGAAGTGGCGGTTGTCGACGAATCGATTAGGCTCTGTGTTCTAAAGCTCTGATTCCTGGAGTGTCGCGGCTGGAGCTGGTGCTTCCTTGCGTATCATTCCTTACGGTGCAGTTGGAGTTGCCGCACCTGATTTCCGCGCTTAGACTTCAGTAGAGCATTCGCCTAGTCGGTAGGAATTAGAAGCTCTGAAAATTTTGGAGTATGCGGCTGGAATTGCTGCTCATCCTCGAGGTCAGTGCAGCGGCGTGTGGCGGGGATTGCTTGTTCCATTCCCCTTGTTGTTGTTCTCAATTGCTGAGTGTTGCGGCAGTAGGCAGTACTCTTTGGTGGTATGGACCTAGTCATGGTCGTGGTTCGAGTTCATCAAGTGGTTACGCTGGATTTTTGTTCAAAATTCACGTCTAAGTCTCCCTCCTCGTCAATTGCAATCTGCAAAGAATGTTGCCTGTAAGGTTCATTTTCTTCCTTCTCTTCTATAGAAGTGGCTGGAGCTGCTAACCTTCAATAGCTCTGGACTCTTTTATTCTACGTGGGTGCGGCGGTACCGTCGGCACCAGTCATGTGAGTTGCGTTGGGCAACAAAATCCGACTATCGGTTCTGCGCGGCATTATGAAATTGTGGAGCGTTCGATTTTTTGAGTTTGTGGTGGAGAGCGTTTGATGAACTGGAGTGAAGCGGCATGCTAGCCTATCAGTGGCTGTATGTCTCTGCAGTACTTGGAAGATCCTTGGATGTGGTGGATTTGATTCAGTACGCAAAATTGGCTCTTTAGTCGCTTGATCCAGCTGTTGTACAAATCGGGCATAGGCGGCAAGTGAGTAGTTGCTTCAAAGAGGGGTCAGTGGATACAAGATTGCGGACGATCGAAGAGGCTGCCGCAAATTAGCACAATTGGGATGCGACAAGAATGCGATATTAGTGACAAAGGTGGAATCCTACAGTAGGAGAAGCTGGGAATCCATCACCAGACGGTACGGCGGTTCCGGTTGTGTTCTTCCGCCCTCTCTCTGTTATTCCAAGGCGCTGATTTCTCGTGTATGCATTGGTGAGCGGAAGGGTTGTCCCAGTGCGGTTTCTTTTTTCCTTGCCCAGCTATTGTTTTGATTGCGGTGTCGCCAACCACTGATGGCCCGGTGTGTTCTCTTCACGTTGATGTTCGGAAGGTACCTTGAAGAGGCGCTGGTGTAGTTTTCCCGTCCGAACTCTTTGTTTTCTTTTTCCCCCTCTGATCGGTTATTACAGACCATGTTCTTTTCCTTATTGTGTTTTTTTCCTTTCTATTGATCTGTGCTCTTGCTGTTCACTCGCTGCCGAGCTTGTGGCTAATCCCTTGTTTTCCGCTGAGTGCCTGGTTTTGTGCGTGTTCGGGTGCTTCTACGAACTACTGGTATTATTAATCCTTGTTTGTCTCAGTTTTGGAAGTGCTGATCATTCCGCCGTTGTGGAGGTTGGGGGCAATTGAATTTTGGGTTCTGATCCTCGCCGTTCTTAATCTACCGCAACGTCGCTTCCAAGCTGCGGTGCAAGGGCTCTCTTGGTTTGTTTTCTCTGGTGACGCTGTGTAGAAGCGGAGATCTGGAGCGTCAACCTTTGGTTCAGTATGCTGCTCGATGATGTGCAGTGGTATTGCTTTAATGTGGGCTTCCATTCCCTTCCACTACAAACCATCAATAGCATCGGTTTCTCCCTCATTCTTTGGTGGCGGATTTGGTGGCGCTGCTCGTCATCAAATTGTGTTGATGATCTAGTGGTGGAAGCACTGTCGTCTCCGATGTGAACTACCTTGAATTGTGTTGCAATACTGGAATGTGAGCAGTTGCACTCGGAGCGGCTGGTAGATGTTGTACTGCTATGGAGGATTTCCAGCTTGACATTCAGCTTATTTCCTCGCATCTAGCTGTTGCGGCGCAGATGTTTTTGTTGCGCAATCGTCAAGGATTGAAAACTAGAATTTGGGGTGGCGGAGGTCATCGGGGTGGGGGAAGCTCTTGTTGCCAATCACTCCTTATTATTCCTTCTTCTTGATCAGAATTCCGTCGAGGCTGTGCGGTGGTCGGTTGCTCTCCAACAAGTGCTACCCTGGTCCATTTTTTTCTTCATTCTTGACTCGGTCTGTAGTGGTCTCCATACCATACTTATTATAATGGTTTTTAGTGTTTTATTGGATTAATTTAGAGAAGTTAAAGAACTATTTAACAATACTTAAGTAATAATTACAAATAATAGAATACATAAGATAATTTAATTGTTATGAATTAAAATAAATCCCTACTATTTGGTAGTTTATTCTAATTGAATTATGGAGATACTATTCTTATATAGATTAAAGAAATCATACTCAAATTAAATATCTATGCCAAGAAGTTGTGCAGTTGAGAGAAGTAAGTAGATCAACTTCATACTTGAATCGAAGAAGACTTGCCACTACAAGTAAGAAGGAGGCAAGGATCAATATGTCGAAGAAGTTTGATAGAATAAGATCAAAATTTTGATAGTTTTTACAACAATTCAAGATCTATTTAAGATTGCATCTTTTTTGATATCTTAATGTATTTATTCAAGTTTGATTAATAGATGCACTTCTATAGAGGAGTGATATCTTTTGATGTGCATCTTTGATGAAAAAACATTCATAACTTCTCTATAATTTGAATTCATTCTTAAAAGTATTTATGGCCATATTTGGAAGAAGTGATTGAAAAAAGGTAGCACAAATCAAACTCCTATCATTATAATAAGAATCATATTTAGCCACCATATATGTTATTAAATTCTAAAATCTTGCTTATGATGTGGATTAGAATAATAAAGCCCTTGTCAATCAATTTTGATATAAATTAAAAGATAATTTCAAAATTTTATTATTGACAATACCAAGAGTAGATTTATTAGAATAATTTATTGTTCAAGTCATTGTATCCAACAATTAATTTTTTGAAAGATGCTAAGAATAAATATTTGATTGAATAAGAATAAGTTAAGTTATGAAGGCAACTCCTAAGTTTTCAAAAACTTATTTATCAAGGTTGGAACTTATGCAAATTGATACAATACGTTTTAAATCTCTTATTGAATAAGAAAAGATTCAATGTTATCAAAAAATGTTGTATTTATATTATGCAAAATCTAAATACATTGCTTAATATTGTTCAAAGAAGCAATGCAATCTTAAAATAAAGAGTATAGTTGGCAAAGAAAATAATGTGTTAGAAAACAAATTTTTCAACTACAATAAAGATTATATGGTTAGAATCTTATACAACACTTTATAAAGGTTATATTCTTTTTTTAAATCTTTTACCTTACTTTACAATAGATATTTATTTAAGACCAAAAAATTAAAAAGTCATTTTATTGTTAAATTTAGAAGCCTCAACTTATTTTATAGGCAAAGATTTTGTAAATAAAAAGAAATATTTTTAGTCAAGAAAACTAAATTCATGCATATGAAAATCAAAGATGGTTGTTTTTTGCATTTTGAAGATGTTATTTATGAAATAAGTCCTTTAGATGTAGCAAATAGTAGATATAATAGTTTAGTAATATTTAATGTAATTAGATCTTTCTCCAATGCTATTATTTTAAATTTATTGTAATTAGAGAATTATAAATTTTAAATAAAGTGAATTTTCTATGACCTTGATTTTTCTCGTAGTTATTTTAATATTCTACTATTTAAGTAGAAAGTCATAAGTCTAATACAATAAAACCTTTATTAGAAGGTGCAAGAACTTTCATACATATTGCAAAAGAATGGTTACTTTTTGTTATTTATACCACATCTATTTTTGATGGTGGAAAGATTTTAATTGACCTTCTAAGTCAATACTAAGTTTATTTAGATATTTTTTTAAAAAAAATGCAAATATTCTTTTAAAGCATTGTCTTTATAATTGATCAATTGATCTTCAAGAAGGAACTCAACTATCATTTGGACCAATTTATAGCTTATTACAAAATAAATTAGCTGCACTTAAGAAATATATTAATAAGAACGTGACAAAGAATTGTATATGCCATTTAAAATTTCTAATAAGAGATCCTATCTTATTTCTCAAGAAAAAAGACAAAACATTGCAAATATAAGTAGATTATTAAAGACTCAATAACATCACCATCAAGAATAAGTATCTTCTACCTTTGATTTTAGGACTTCTAAATTAATTGAATCAAGCAAAGATCTATATCAAAATAGATCTACAAAGAGCACACAACTTAATATGCATCAAAAAAAGAAATGAATGAAAGACTATATTTTAAATTAAATAAAGAAATTTTAAATATAATATCATGCATTTTAAATTCACAAATACATCAATTACTTTTCAAAATCTAATGAATAATTTTTTTAAAGAGTTTTTAGATGATTTTTTTGTTTACTATTAATATTATATTTTAATTTACTCTAAAAATACAAAACAAAATATGAAATTTATATTTTTTTGTATATTATAAGAATTTAGAGATGCAAGACTATACACCAAGGTAGAAGAGTATATATTTCACACAACTCAAGTTGATTTCTTAAGATACATCGTTTCAAATAATGATTTTATAATAGATTCTAAAAAAATTTAAATTATCATAGATTGGAAGATTTCAAGAATAGTAAGAGATGTATAATGTTTTTTGAGATTTTTCAATTACTATTGGATCTTTATCAAGAATTTTTTTCAAGTTGTAGCTCTACATAAAATTTTGACTTGTAAAGACAAACTTAAGTAGTATAAAAAATCTAAAGCAATTTTTTTTATTTTTGTACCAATTTTTTATTGTGCAAACTTTTTCAAGTCATTTTTTGATGGAAATAAACATATCAAACTTTGCTTTGATTGTGATATATCAAAAATGGATGTAGATGACAAAATTCATTTAATAAATTTTTATTTGAGAAAATTTATAGTAATTGAGATCAATAAAGATCATTTTTATTTATTTATTTATTTATTTATTTATTTATTATTTTTTTTTCTTTCTATTCCTTCTTTTTGCCATTCTTTTCTCTTCTTACTCTAAATTTTTTTCTTTTCTATTCTATTATTTTTTATATTTTATTTTTCTAAAACTACCAAGGTGTTTTTTTTTAATTTTATTTTTTTGGGTTATTTTGAATGAAAGTTTCTACTATAATTTTCTATCTTAATCACAACAATTAAAGACTACAAAACCTATTTCTATTGTAATTTCTATTTTTTCAAGAATTCTTATACTATTCACCATATATTATGTTTTTTAATACAATAATTGTAATTTTTGTACTAAATATATAAGTGAGTCAATTTGGTCTCACATTTGGCAACTATCTAGGATAATTCAAAGAGGTAGAGAATCTAGATATTCTTGCTATTTGGCAAGTCCTTATCTAAGCTAGTCACTTTGATTTTAATATTCTATCAAGATTAGAAGGAATAGTGCTAAAAAAAATAAATTAAAATACTCATATAAAAGATCATGGTTAGTACTAGTTTCATTCCTATCTTCTAATGCTACTTCTCTTGAAATAGAAAAAATATTAAAAAAATTGTTCACTTACTAAAGAAAGGTGAAATAATTCTTTAAGAGAAAAAAAGAAAGAAAGAAAAAGATAGAAAAATAGAAAAAGAAAAAAAATTAAAATATTAGGAATAAAAAAACCAAGAATTAGTATTATAAAATTCTCTTCGAAGGAGAAGAATTTAGATTAGAAGCCATAAAAGCCTATATATCTTCTAGGTAGTATGAGTTGGCCACTTTCTTGTTCTAATACTAACTTATATGTATATAATTTTTTTTTATCTCAATGAGTCAAGTTCCAATTTACTTGATAAAAATCAAGTTTGACTAAGTTGTATGGCTAAATCTCTACTCAACTTGTATAATAATAATATAAATTATTTTTCTATTATGTGATGATTTTTTCACACTCTATACTCATTACATCTATTCTTGAATGTGCTAGTTGGAAATACTTTCCTATTTAACGTTTCTAACGACAAGGAGTTGTTGACAAAGACTTTTCAAATGATATGCCTTTTCTTTTGTCTAATTGCCTTGGCATTAGGAGTAAGGAAGATGTAGTATTGAGCCATTTTAGGTGGTATATTCTTCAACTCTTTGTATGACTAGGCTAAAATATCTTGATATTTTATAATCAAATCACAATACTAAGAAACCTCTTCTTGATTTAAATAAATTCTAATTTTAATTATTTTAGGCTCTTTTTCTTTATTTGATACATCTATAAGTTTTTATTTGGATTTTTGTATTAGAGATTGTCTTAAACAATTTTTGTATCAATCACTAGATATAAGAGGATAGTTGGCAATTCCATTGCTAAGTGTAATTCTCAATGAAGTGTTTTGAAATCAAAGAAGTGGAACTAAATCATCATTTCTTTTAAAGAATTAAATCTCTTCTTCTAAGATCCCATCTACATTAATATTAAGGACTTGGATTTCCTTGACTTTTATAATTTTTAATATTTCTTTCAAAAAATTAATTAGTTCAAAATAATCAAAATTGAAGTTTGAAAGATCATCTAGCCATTGTTTATATTTCTTTTCATCTTTCTAATTGTAAAGATTAGAATCTAGGTATTCTAATTTTTTTTGGAATCTTAGTCAATTGAATTGACTACATTTTTTAGTTTGTATTATATTTTAGATTATTATTTATCTTCTAAAGAATTAATGGGATTATTTTTTCCATGATCTAGGATAAGTTACATAGAGATTTTGGTTCTATTATCTCAAGGACCAAAAATAATATGGGACTATTTTCTTTTTCAATTAACTAAGGCTTTAGAGTCCTTCAATGATGGCCTATTTAATAGTAAAGAAAAAGAATACTTTGACATATGCATTTGAATAACATAATATGTCACAATGTATTCTTCTTCTCCAATCCAAGTTTTACGATTTTCTATCTGGCATATTGATATAGATGGGCTTTGGTTTTCTATCTTGATAACAAAAGGAGATTGGTTAGTAACATACAATCCTAGTTTTTCTATGGTTTAGAAGGATATAATGTTCAAACCACTTCTACCATCTATAATGGTATAAAAAATTATTTTATCCACAATAGAAACCTCAATTTCTATTATTTTTATGTCACCTTGTTTAGTATATGTATCTATTTTTGTTGCTATCTTAACTTTGGACCTCTAATTTCTCATTGAAATTTGGATTTTTAGTACCTTTTTAACCATTGAAAAAATTTATAATATTTAGATAAAGGTTATGTTAGCCTTCAACTTGCTAAGGTCATTCCATAAATTATACTCTTGTAGGTTTGGTTCCTCCACATCCTTGTGTTATTGAGGGAATTTTAATATAGGAATTTTAGAATCCTTCTAACTACAATTATGTAGATTAATATTTGGCTTGTGTTCAATCTCAGGGTTCTAAAATGATAATTCTTCTAACAAAGGGTCAAACCTTACAAATATTTGTTGGCAACATTATTATGAATTACTTTAATTATATTTTTGATAATTCATTCTAAATTTGAGAAGCAAGGTGGACAATCTAAGATACTAGTTTCTTCTTCTTAATGGAAAGATAAAGATGCATCATTAGATTTAGTCATCACTATAAGAGTTGATACTATAAGTAGATTTTTTTGACTTT